GCAGGTTGAGAACCACTGTGCTAGGAGGCCTGGTGGCATAATGGTTATGCATTGGGCTGTGACCTGCAAGGCCAGAAGTTTGAAACCAGCAGCTGCTCCTAGGGAGAAAGATGAGGCTTTGGATTCCCATAAAGAGTTAATCTATCTTCTCAGAAACCCACAGGGGCAGTTGTACCCCATAGGGTCAGCATCACTCCATGGCAAGGAATTTGTTTTGGGGGCAGGGGTTGTGGTGCTAGCTGAGCACCCTGGGAGAGTTCCTTTCCCCTGACCTGGGGCCACCTGGACTCTTCCCTGTGACCCTGGTGAGTTACCAGCCAGGCTGCTGGGAAGGAATCTGTTGAGGGCAGATGGCTCGCTGTGGGCTCTCAGGAAGGTGACAGGCTGCAAGAGCCTCAGAGGAGTGGGCCAACCCCTTCCCAGTCTGAAGGAAAGCAGGGCCCCCTGGGGTGCAATGTCCTGTCTCCACTCAGAGGAAGCTCCTGAGTGGGGTCTGCAGACCATTTGTGCTCCCCTGCCGATTGAAGGTCCTTGGTTGGAACCAGGCAGTGATGGCAGCCTGAGGCAGGCACAGGGGGTTGTTTGTTTGTTTGTTTTTAGAGCCATACAGGGTGTCTGCAAAGAAGATGGGGCTGGACCCCAGACTGACAGTTCCTGTCCGGAGCTTCCCACCAGACTGCAGCCCTGCCTCACGGCTCACTTCCACACAGGCTTCTGGGGGGCATGCCTGGCCTCAACCCCCACACCAGGAGCCAGAGGGAAATGAGACACTTAATCCCCAGCCTTCGAAGGCTGGGAGCCAGCGGGCACTCCTTGTCCCATCCGGGTCCCTTTCTTCTGAGGGGTAGGGAGCTCTCAGTGGGCAGGATGATGTGGGGCAAGGATCTTCCAAGAGTACCGATTGTCTGGAAAAGTCCAGGGCTCTTGGGAGGAACACAGGAATAGACATCCCTGTGCTGTGGCTCAGAGAGGGGACCGCCTGCCTCACTCTCCGCTCTCAAGTCTACAGTGCCTCTTCCCCTCTCCTCCCTCCTCCCTGTTTCAGGAGGAGATGTCCCACCTCACAGGTTAGACCCCACACATACTGCCTGCCTTGAGCCCCACCCCAGAGACCCTTCTCCCTGGGGGAATTGTCAGCACTCTCCCAGCTCTGTCACCTCCCCACCCAGCAAGCCCTGCTCTCTCTGACCCATAGGGACTCCCTCTGCTGCAATCCTCCTCCAGCCCGCCTGGCTTCTCCCAGCTCCCCTCCCTGAGGCAGCAGGCACCCTGAACCAGAGCTTGGGTCCCCTCTTCCTTTGTCATAGTACCTGGAGCACCTCATGGTCCTTCTTCCCCACCTCTAGGGCTACTCCTTTGAGAACCTGTCCCCCTACCCACCTCTGGAAGACCTAGAGATGCCTTAGGTTCTCAAGGCTCAACCGCACGTGGTTCTTTCCCTGGATGAGCTCCAATCCTCTCCTCCTCCCTTCCTTCTGCAAGTAGAGTTTGGGGCCCTTCTGCACGGAAAGGAGCCCTGGTGGCACTGTGAGCCCCAAGGTCAGAGGTTCGAACCCAAGAGCTACTCTGGCTGCTCCTGTAAAGATTTACAGCCTCGGAGACCCTGCAGAGGGTCGCCTGACTCCAAAGCAGTGGCCTCGATTTGGGTTTGGCCCCCCAAAACCCCAAACTTACTGCCATCGAGTTGATGCCACACATAGCAACCTGATAGAACGGGGTAGAACTGCCCTGGTGGGTGTCTGAGACTGTCACTATAGGAGTAGAAAACCCTGTCTTTCTCCCCAAACAGTGGCTGGTGGGTTTGAACTGCTGACCTTGAGGTTAGCAGCCAACCTGTAACCAGGGCTAGACTAAGCAAATTGTCTGTGAGCAGGGCAAAGCAGCCCTAGTGGCAATAGTGGTTATACATGGGGCGGCGAGCCGTAAGACCAGCAGTTTGAAACCACGAGCTGCTCCGTGGGAGAAAGACTCAACTTTCTACTTCGGTAAGGAGTCACCATCTCGGAAGCCCACAGGGGCAGTGCTACCCTCTCCTTTAGGGTCGCTGTGGGTCAGAATCAACTCGGTGGCAGTGAGTGGGGCACATGGTGACCGCTGCCAGCTGCTAACTAGAAAGCTGGAGGTGGGTGCCCACTCAGCCTTCAAAGAGAGGCCCGCTCAGTGCAGTGTGCAGTGCAGTGTGCATTCTCCACGGCAACCACCATGCAGACAGTGAAAGAGAAGAAAACAAGTGCTGTCCATCTGCTTTCACACTATCAGCCCCTGGATCCCTAAGGAGCTCCCTCCCTTCTGGTTGTCATGGGTTGGAGTCCACTCAATGGCCACTTTTTTTTTTTTAAGGAAAAGTGAGATGTGGACTGGAAGCCTAGAGCCTCTAATCTCAAAGAGGAGATAAAATTAGATCATATAGTCACAAACCACAAAGTGTGCTGGGAGTGCAAAGAACAGGCTGGTGGCACAAGGATTAAAGCTCCAGCGAATGCCCTCTGGCCATCGTCCCTGGAGGGGGACAGCCTTGCTATCCGACCAATTGCCTCTTAAGTATGTGAAAGGTGGATATCAAATAAGGAAGAAGACTCTATGCATCATGGTGCTGGCGATACTCAATGGAAGTCCCGTGGGCTTCCAGGGGAGCAAACAGCCTGTCTTGAAGGAAGGGCAGCCAGGATGCTCTTTAGATGAAAGGGTTGTGAGACACCGGTAGCAGGAGAGGCCAGTCCTGGAGAAGGACATCATGCTTGGTAAAGTAGAGGGGCGGGGCAAAAGGGGAAGGCCCTCCATGCAATGGGTGGACACAGAGGCTGCAAGGAGGGGCTCGGTCATGAGGGCGACTGGGAGGAGGACATAGCAGGACCAGGCGGAGTTTCATTCTGTGGTACATACTTAGGGCCGCCATCCGTCTGCCTGGGAATCAACTCGATGGCTTTCACAACAGCCCGAAAAACGGAGCCCAGGGAAGAAGGCAGTGAACTGGGTGTGGAAATGGGGCCTCGAAAGCCCTAAGGCAGCGGTTCTCAGCTTGTGGGTTGCGACCCCTTTGGGGGTCGAACAACCCTTTCACAGGGGTCGCCCGATTCATAGCAGTAGCAAAATGACAGTGATGAAGTAGCAAGGAAAATAATGTTGTGCTTGGGGGGTAACCACCACATGAGGAGCTGTGTGAAAGGGTCGTGGCATGAGGGAGGTGGAGAACCACTGGGCTAGGAGATCCTCTTCAATCCCACCTAGTCTTTCTACTTCCTGCACAGCCAGCTCCCCGTTTACAGGCAAATCTCCATTTGCTCTGAGGCACAGTAGGTAGCATCCTTGTTACCAGCCTTGTGGGGGTGAGCACAGTAGGGGGGGGGCAGTAGGAGGTGGGGGGCTGGGCCTGGTGGTGGGCACAAAGGGGAGATGGGGCTGGTCTGAGAGGAAGCTGGGGCCACTGCCAAGTGCAGGTCAACACCCAGAGCGAGCCTCTCCCAGCCTGACACTGGAGTGAGTCAAGGTGGGGCGTTAGTCTTGCCCCCAGTGAAGGCGAGACTAGGGCCAGGTCTCAATGGGAAACCGCATTTCCCAGCTGCGGAAGGCTCTGTGCATGTGGTAAACAGGTGTAGGAGGATTGAACCTCTGCACGGGGCCAGGACCCTTCAGGGCAGGTCACTGCACCTGTGTGGCTGTAGTGTTTCCGCAAGGGACTATCACCTCCTTCAAGGTCTAGTGGCTGCAGCCCCTCCTCCTCTTCCCTGAGGCCCCAGACACTGTCTGGTTCTCCCCTCAGTCCAGTGCTGGGCACCTTCTCAATCAGACCCCACCGCCTCTCTGGCCCCATGGCCGTCCAGCTCGGGGCACAGCCAGGGTGGTACCTACCAAGCAAGCAAAATGCCCTTGACTGGAAGCCCGGTCTTTGGGTGTTGCCCATGCCACTGTGCCCACTATACGAAGGGTCAAACTGAGACCTTCCAACCCTCCGGAGGCAAGGGGGCCAGCTGGAAGACCCCAGAGGAGGACACACACTCCCTCCAGGCAGCCGCCCTGCCCTGCCCACCTCCCCCACCATTGTCTTAGCTGACACTTTGGAGGGGCTGCAGGCTGGGGGAGCCCCCTCCCCGCTGCCCTCCCGGGGTCAAAAGCTCAGCGGGAGCTCTCCAGCAGCCCACTAATTAGGGTCAGCCCCATCACACCTGCAGCTGCTGGGAGGGCACTGAGGCGGGCAGGCCCGCTGTGAGGCCAGGATGGGGCAAGCCCAGGGCAGCAGGTCTGAACCTCCCGCCCCCTCCAGGAGGGATTAGGGGAGGGAGGGCAGGGGCTGTAAGCGGAGGGTTCTTTAAACCAGACCCAGGGCCTGCTGGCTGGACCCCTCTCCTGTGACCTTCCTCTTCCCAATGGTTTGGCATTCAAGCCCCTGGGTGCCCAGACCTGGCTCCATCCTTCTACCAGGCAGCCAGCATTTTCTTCCACACCTTTGCCTAGGTTCTGCCCCAACCCCTGGGCTTGAATCATCCTCCCAGGTGCTCAGCCATAGCTCTAAGCCGCCTTCTTCAGAGATGGGTCCGGAGCTTTTAGGGAACAAGGCCAGCTCTGCTCCGTGTGAGGCAGACAGAAAACTTTGAGATGGATATTGGCGAGGGTTGAACAATAGGGTGACCATAACAAAGATTCATTCCCCACCCCCCCATTCAGGGGTGCACAATCCCTGGGGGCTTGGAGCCAGCAGGCCCTGCCCCCAACCTTCCAGCCCGCCCCCCCCCCTCAGCCCCTTTCTGTCCCTACATGAGGTAGTCAGAAGGGGCCCTGATGGCAGTGATGTGTTGGGTTGAGATCCCCAAGATCAGCAGTTCGAAACCTCCTTGGGAACAAGACCAGGACTTCTACTCCAATATACCACTACAGCTCTACCCTGCCCAGTGGCCGTGAGTTTCTTCAGTTGGCCCATCCAGACCAGAAGACCAGACACACCGACAGCGTGTCCCACCACCAAGGCACTACTGCTGCTACTCCTACTGGCACACAGCTGTACTCAACACTCCTGGGTCCTGCACCCTCCCCTCCTCAGTCACTTGGCGAAAGGTAGAAGCCCATCCCAGAGCCTGGAGCACTGGTTCTCAACCTTACTGATGTCAGGACCCTTTCATACAGTTCCTCATGTGGTGGTGACCCCCAACCATAACATTATTTTTGTTATTACTACATCACTCATTTTGCTACTGCTATGAATCAGGCAACCCCTGTGAAAGGGTCGTTGGACCCCCCTAAAGGAGTGGTGACCCACAGGTTGAGAACCACTGGCCTACAGCCCACTCCTGGCGGCAGGAGGGTATCAGCGCTGGGTCCCTGGGTGCTAGCAGCAAAAGCAGAGGTGAGGATGGTCTTGCTCACTGCAACGCTGCCAATGTTGCCAACACGGCCAGCGAGCAAGGCTCCGGGCACTCACCTGAGCCAGCTGTTTTGTGTGAACACATAGCCTAGGGGGGGTCACATGAAGCCACTGTGGCAGGAGGGATCCAGCACAGCCACTGGTTCCAGTTTGGTCAAAGCTGTCACTGTGTTTTCCCTTGTTCCAGCTTGCTGACTCTCAGTGAGCTTGGCAGGGAGGGAACTGGTTGGGAGCTGTCCCAGGACTGGGAGTTCTGGCCTGGAGCCGGCAGCAGGGGATGGTTGAGCCCTGCAGGGCCCCTGGGAGGACACCCCCAGAAGAAGGAGAGGTGCACGTGGGTCCTGTTCCCACCAGGCTTTATGTGTGAACTCAAAATCCAAACTCAGTAAATAAAGTCACTTCTCACTCTTAGTGACCCCAGGAGGACAGCGGAAAAATGGCCCCCATGGGGTCGCAAGTGGACACCCACATCTTTCTCCTGTGAAGCAGCTACTGGATTTGAATCGCTGACCATTGTCACTAGGGATCCTTCCGTGGCTCCAACCCAAACTCAGCCCACTGTCACGGAGTCTATGCCCACTCACAGTGCCTACAGGGCAGAGGTGAGCCGCCCCGCCTGGCTTCCGAGTCTGTCAATGTAACGGGTAAAAGTTAGCTGCCCGATGCCTTACCTGCTGCACCACCAGCACTCTGCCTGTGGCCCCGAGGGGCTCCCAAACCAAAGAAAGCTGTGTAATGGATTCAAACCCATGCTTGAATTTTGGGACATACATGGCCAGGCCTTTCTTCCGAGTCATGTCTGCTTGGACTCCCACTTCCACCCTGCCCCTCAGCAGGGGAGCAAGTTAAAGGTCTGCATCTCTCAGTTGGCACCGCTCCTTGCTCCTTTAAAGGTGCAGTCACCACCCAAGTCTGATCCCTCCACCCCCCTTTGACCTGGGGAGCTGTCCCCTCTTCCTACAGCCTGCTGGGGCTTCCTGGATAAGCAGAGCCCCACCCCACTCCCAGTTCTCCCCAGTTGGAATGTAGCTCCACCCTCAGCACCTCCTGGGGGGCTTCCCAGTGCCCCACTCATCCCCTTGCTCAGGTGGCTCCACAGTGGGTCCAGCCCCTTCCACCTTCCGTGCTAGTGGGGGGAGGAAAGGAGGAAGTGGAAGGGAGAGGAAAGGAGGAAGGACCAGCCTGTACTGGGCTCACTTTCCTTCCCCGCCTTTGGGAGAGGCTCCCTCCCACCTCTTCCCTCCCCCCACCCCTCCCACACACACTCACATAGCTTGGGACCAACTCTGGCTCTGGTTAGCTGGGGCTGGCTCAGCCGGTTTACCCCAGAGCTGGGCAGTCCAGAATTTGAGGAGGCACCTGGGTCTGGAAGAGTGACCTTGACCAGGGGGGTGGGGGAGGATTCCTTTAAGCTTTCTGGGCCTGGTACCCCAGCCACAGTCAGGCTACCCCTCTGAAACTACCAGGGCCTCCTCCTGGAGGGCACCCACACCTGCACTTGGGCCCCAGGCAGCTGGACACAACGCAGCTACGTCTGCAACATCCCCGGACCACACAGCACACACGCTCTCTCAATCACTGGAACAGACAGCAGGCTCATGACTTGAGCCCCTCACTTCCCCAGGGGGTGTACAAGCACACGTTTCCTCACTGATCACACACACACTCAGACTGTCACACACATTCCCACATGTCTACAATCAAGGGACTGTGAGAGCACACGCAGGTACACACACACACACACACACACACACACACACACACACAGGCCTATACCCAGTTATAGCTTCAGAACGCATCTCAACACACACCCATTGACGGGTCTCAGTGTCACCCACTCCCTTGTCCTAGGAAAGCACGCAGCTCTCCAGTGTACACAGAGCATCCCAAACACTCATCCTCCGGTACTTCCGCCGGCGGAGAGTTCTGGCGTGAACGCGCACGCGCACACGCAGGGCAGTGAGGATCTGGACTCAGTACCGGAGGGGAGGTCCCTGCAGCCACTCCTCAGTACCCATCCCTGCACCTGCACAGGTGGTACCACTGACTCATTCTCTCTGTCCCAGGAGACCCAGCGCCCCCAGCCCCCCACCCAGTCTAGAGCCTCTGGTTCCCCAGGCGGCTGGGCCCAGCTCTTTACCCACCTCCCACCCACCGGCGGGGCTCGTACTTACTGACACGGGGGTGGGTGATGAAGTTTCGGGTGACCGCCTGCAGGTGTTCACGGGCCACGCCCAGCTCACAGGCATTGCCAGGGAGCCCCCCAGACCTGCTGTCTACCTGCAAGGCCATGGCACAGAGACTGGCTGCCAGGGGAGCCTGCTGGGAGAGCTCTACTACTCTGGCACCTACTGAACCCGCCCCGGGCAGCCCCTCCCCTCCTCTCCCCTCCCCTGTGTTGACTGTACACTGCAAAGTGGAGCAAGTAGTTCAGGGTTCTGTCCTTGGAGTGTCCCCGTGGTGCTGGTGCCCTGGGCGCCTGTCAGACGTGGGTCTCCTGATTTCTCTCCACCTGCTGTCAAGGGGGTGGGTGGTGGGTGGGGGCTTTCTCATCCTAACTGCTCCACCAGCCAGCCCTGCCTGGGCTGGGAGTGCAAGGTAGGGGGGTGGGGGAGGTCCACCCGCGTCTTAAAAATCAAGCTATCAGAACGTGATCATCAACATCACTGAATTACGTGTGCAGAAACCACCGCATCGGCAAATCTTTTGTTGTGTGTATTTTTACCACAGACAAACACAAATGTCTACTTTCAGGCCTGTCTTCCTCCTGGGCCTGCCCATTGGGTCCCAGGAAGCTTTGCTCTCCAGGGACAGCAGACAATGTATGTGTGCTTTGTGGGTGCCCGGCAGGGGGGGAGTGGTGTGCTGGGATCCATTCCACTCCAGTCAGTTCCGGGCTCCCCAACACCTCATGTCAGACTCTGGACTTCCTGGCATTTCCACGCACCTCCCCCACCCCTACTGCCAGAGCAGGGGCAGGGGTGGGTGGGCAGTTTGTGAGGCTCGCCATGTCTCAGCACCCCACTTTGAGTGGCTTAGGCCAGCCCACTTGGAGCCAAAGCAGGGACGTAGCAAAACAAAACAATCAAACCAGCAACTGTCTCCTGGGCCACCCAGCAACAATCCTACCTGCACCCTCTGGCCTGAGAAGCCCAGGGCAGCCTCCAGTGCCTGGCAAGGCCCCCCTTCTTTCAAAGAGGAGCAGTGTGGTTACAAAGGGCTACTGGGGAGAGGAACTCTGCGGTGAGGGTGCAACTCTGTATTGCTAGCGGTGAAGGTTACCTGAATAGACAGGTGTGGTCAAATGATGGAACCACATGTGTGAATGTGCGCGCGCACACACACACACACACTCACACGTGCGCGGTACCAGGGACAGCGTCCAGGGTTGAGTATTGAACTAGAGTAGATGTAATCATTGGAGGATTGCTAGGGACAGGTCCCACAGAACTTCCCTGGACTGTATTTAGTGGTTTCCTGTGAGCCCTGGCCTCACTGTGGGATAGGTCTCAGGTTCAAACCCCGCAGCCACTCTGCCAGAGAACGAGGTGGCTGTCTGCCCCCCATCAAGGTGACTTGGTCCCGGACACTCTTAGCGTTGACTCGTTGGCAAGAGGTTTGGTGTGATTTGTGATTCTATCATTATTTTTAAAACAAAGAAGTTGAAACTATCTTGAGCCAAAAGGAAAAAAAAAATTTTTTTTTCAGATGTGTTGACCCAGCAGCGTTTGTGAGCAGCAGAGCCTCTGAGGGCTTGCCTGAGTTGACCTTTGATGTGGCCCCTCCCACTCTCCGCAGTCTCCCATCACCTTGTGCGCATGCGCCTCAGCTCTGGCCGGCCCCAGCACCTGGCCTGCCCAGGAAGGAGGACGTTAGTTCTGGAAAGAGGAGCTGGCAAAGGGCCATGTGGAACCACAGACAGCACCGACGTCGACAGGTGTGGTGGGACTTGGGACGCCCAGGTGGGTTCTACTGGGAGTGGGCACCCCCCCTCCCTGAGGAGCGCAGGGCAGGGGCTAGGCAAGGTGTGCTGCTGCTGTCCTGGGACGGTTTCCCTTCTGGACGTTGATGTTTCCTTTTATTTCAGTGAGACACACACACACACACACACACACACCTCACACACACAAGTGCGGGACCAAGGCCATTTGGTTGAGTCTCTGAGGGTGGGCGGGACAGGACCAGAGGTGGCCAGCCTGCCTCTAGGCCAGGCTGGGTGCAGTCCCCCACGGGGGCACAGGAGGCCTGTGGTGCTGGGCTGGGGACACAGTGTCACATGGAGGTGGTAGGCTTAAGTGTTAGCTTTCCGGGTGCCAGGGCTGCCTCCTTTCCGCTCTAGCTGGCTATAGGGCTCAAAGGCCGAGGAGGCCAGTTCGTAGCCAGCTGGCAGGTCCAGGAGTGGGGCCACAGAAAAGCAGAGGGGCGGTGGAGGGGGCAGCAGAGGGGGCGACGTGGGAGCGGTGCCCAGCTGGCTGAGACGAGAAGAGTTCCTGAGGTCACCCAATGAGGGGCCCCTGTGGCCAGCAGGCAGGCCCGGCAGGCCTGGGGTCAGCGCCAGAAGGCCCGGGGCCCTGGGCACGGACAGCAGGTGGCCATGCTCCAGCAGCTGCAGGATGTTGGAGGTGGCAAAGGCCTCCGAGGCAGAGGAGGAGGCCGCCCGCTTCTCCAGGTCTCTGCTCTGGTCTTTCTTCTGCTTGGTGCGGCGGTTCTGGAACCAGACCTTCACCTGTAGGCAGAGGGTGGGCCAGGGGTGTCAGGAGGAAGGGCCAGGACCCAGGCAAGGGAGAGCAGGGAGAGAAGGCAGAGGGAAAGAGGGGTGAAGCCCAGTTGGGGCAGAGGGGGAGACAGGAGGGGAAGGTATGTAGGAAAGGTGGAGCAAGGGAGGGGGATAGAGCAGGAGATTGGCATTAAGGTCATTAACCAGCCTGTCAGGTGAGAGACCCGGGACCCTCAAATTGGAAGCCTCCTGCTCTGCTAAGCTGGCTCTGGCCTGGGGTAGAAGCTGGACTGGCAGGTGGAGGGAGGACGGCCCACCTCAGCACCAAGTTCATGGCTTCAGCTGCCATCATGTAGTGCGGCTCCCCCCACCCCCAACTCTGTTTTAGACCCAGAACTCTGAACTGATTCCCAGGCCACAAATCCACCTGCCTGTTTGACACCCCTACCCCCCAACCCAGGTGTCTCAAAAAC